TTTAGTTCATTAATTTCTAAAGGAAACAGTTCCTATCTTCGTTTTTATAATAATAATTTGTTTCAGGAATCATTTAATTTTGGAATGAAAGTTCTTACAACACTGATGATTTTGAATTCTTTTAATAGACAGTATTTTATTTTATAGTATTTTTGCGTTTGGATTTTCTAATAGATATGCTATGTCTCTCTAATGATTTTTGTATTTCATTAATTACTTATTTTTTATATTAAAAATGTATTAGAAGTATTCCAATTGAATTTTAATGCACATTATTTATTTCTAGTCAAATGGAAATGTAATGTAAAGACTTTATATTAAATAGTAATACCTTAAATAATTTGTATGGATAAGGTAATTAAAATCTTTCTTTTGTAGGTATAATCATAACAATGTCGTTCACAAAATAATTCAATTATGTTTTGTCGTAAATAAATGTTTGACAAAACATAATTGAATTATTTTTTTATACGATCTAAAAACCTACATATGAAAGAATAATGATTAACTTTCCAATCAATAACTCAAAAAATAATCTGAATAGATCACACAGGGATTGTAAAAAGATATTTTGAGTTTCTTCGTGGTAGTTCCGACAAAACGGAAAAGCCGTAATAGGCTTTATTAAATTAATAAGATACAATATATTCAGTCTAATTTTGATAAATTTATATAAGAATGGAGAATTTTAAAAACAGACATTTTTCTAAAATAATCTTAATATTTTTAAAAATAAAAGAAATTAAAATTTAAAATTTATTGTTTTTTCGTTTTTATTAGAAATTATAATTAATTACTTAATTGATTCAATATATACTCAGTTGTCTAGGTAAAACGATGAAACCTGGTATGAAACTTAAAACAAATCTATCATATTTGTTTTAAATCTAAACATAGTTTAAATTAACGACAAAAAGGTTGTATGAGCTCTATTAATGATACGACTTACTGCTATTATTAAAAAATTATGGTTAAAATGTATATTTATGAATTTTTATATTTTCATATTGCAAAGGTTACAACAACAAAATATCTTGTAGTTTTAATTCCATCAAAATAACTAAATATTTTTTATATAAGCCATACAAGTAGTTTTATGCTAAGGTTTATACTTTAATTAATATTTAAATTATAATGTTAGAACATGTAATAGTATAGACTAGTTTTAATTTCAACTACTACTTAATATTGATAACTCTTAAATTAATCATTAAAATTTTAGTAATAAAATAAAGATTTACTAATACAATGACTGATTTTTAAAAGTTACTTTTACTTTCAACTCTTTAAAATCAAAGATTTTAATAAGATTCATTTTTATAGGATCTTAATGATTTTAAGAATATTTTATTGCAAAACAATATAAGGATTTTACAAAAACTAAAAACAAATAAATTTAAAATGACAGTATGATACGTTTTAATTTATAATCTAATGTTTTTTTTAATTCACTATTACCAACTAATGTTATACTTATCATCAATTATCACACAGTTCTTTAAATTTGGAATGAAATTGAAGACTTTCTCAAATATTTTGTACGTTTTAATTTTTAAAAATTTAAAACATATTCAAATAATAATGAATAATTTTGTAAATTAATCAATTAAAATAACTTTAAAATATAACTTGGTGTCAAAAGTACATGATCATAAATAAGATAACCAAAATACATTTTGCCCGAAGCGGTTGTAATTTCCGCTGAATTCAACCAATGCAAGCACATATATTCATTGGTTTGACTATATTTTGGTAGAATTGTACAAATATGTTTCCTTAAATTTATTGTTTTGGGACTATTGATATTTTTAGTAACCTCAAAATGATATTTATTCATTCAAATTTTGTTTAAAATAATAATGTGTTATTGAAGCAAGTATAAGACAATGTTAGGTAAATTAAAGTTACAGCCTTTTTAAGTGTTATTTTTTCTTTAATATTTTTATTAGAAATTTATTTAAAAAAATTGATTGAGAATTTTTATGACAATAAATGTTAAATTGATATTTTGATCATTGATATTTAAAGAAATAAATGATAATAAAATGTGTTCATTGAAAATGTAGATGAAATTTTATGATTTTTGTCGAATGAAGTGTTATTTTAAAATTTGTTAAATTTTTCCAAATTAGAAATTTTTATTTAAAGAATTCCAAAGTTTATTAACTTTTATAGATACCTCTTTTAGCTAGTTGTAAATCACTGGTTTACATATTAATTAGGCTGAATTCATTAGTAGGCTATATGTTTGTATCCCGGCAACGTTCGTTGTTTGAACGGATCTCGAAATTACAATTTAGGTTGTTCTTTTGTCAATTGGTTTTCAGGTCGTCTCTACACTATAGGCGCATAGCTTTTTCTCTATCTTTTAGGGTTTTATCGTTTGTATAGCATACGATATACCACGCTTTGATAAATAATTCATCAGTGTTGTAAAAATGTTTTGAAATCGAGAAATAAAAATCCAATATTAGCAGTAACTAGAAGAATATATATTAAATTATTAAGCATTATTATTTATTTTAGAAAAAATTAATATAAAATAAAATAGTTACCTAAGTAAAATTTTATGAAAATATTTTCATTTGTGCCAGAGTAAAAACTATTAAATTTTGAAAGATAACAAAGTTACAGTGAAGAATAACTGTTGAACTTGAATAAATAAAACCTTTGATTTGAATTTGAAAATAAAGATTGTATTATATTAGTTTCAAGCCAATTGCATAATTTAGAAGTAATATACTAGTAAACAAATATGATTAACGTTTCTATGAAGTATAAAAAAATTTAATATTACTGATAGTGATTATTATAGTTGAAAAATTAGGTATTTTAGAAACTCAATATTATTTATTATTGGTGAAACCTATCAATTATCACATTAAGTATGAGGTAAGTTTGATGTAAAGTTTAATAATACTTATTAATTTAACTTTTAATGATACATTTTTTTATAGTAATACTGCTAAAAAATACAAATAATATATTATTTTGAAGTAATTTTGAATACTGTTGTGTTAGCTATCGTTCTAGAAAGTTTTTACTTATATAAAAGATTAGAAAACTGTAACAACTTCAATTAGAGGCCGTCAGATTAACTGACTAAATAGTTAAATTATAATTGTATTAAATTTACGTAAACGTAAGTCATTTTTAGCTATTTGATGATAATTAACGCATGGTGTCAGTAGAATAGGATCCCACCCAAATCTTAAGATAATACCCCCATGTGTTTTGAACTACACTAATTGTTTAAAAAGAGTTATTTATCTTGAACTAGTATATATACTAACAACTTTGGTTCTATTACAACATAAATTTGTGATACTGTAGAAATATAAATTTTTAATGTTTTAAAATTGTTATTTATTATTGTATTATAGGATTTAAGTCTGTTATGAGATACAAGACTAGAGAGGAGTGGATTCCAAAGCTTCCCATGAGTCATTTTGGAATCAATTCCTTTAGCACTCCCAAGTTGTTGACAAAATGTGCGCCTGTTTATGACAGTTGTATCTTTTTTTGAATGATTTAATTAAACTATAAAAGTAAAAATTTAGTTTACGATAGTTGATAATTTATTTACGCCATTTTAAAATAGATTGTCTCTTTTAATCATTCTAAAAATCTTTTACGGCATTCCGATTAGAAAATTGCTAATTATTATAGTACCCAGTGATAAGTTTGTTTTTATATTTATTTTTATAAATAGGTGTTCAGTAAGTAAGGAAACGGGTTTCTTACTTACAATATTTTATTGTCCTCGTTGTTTGTAACAATTGGCCTGTTTTCTGTTACATTTTAAACAGTCTGTATAATCTATGCAATTAATTAATTAATAGATGATTCTGTATTGATTAGAAAATGTCTAAATAATGTACTTACTTTAACAGTTAATATTTAAATTAAAACAGAATTTATAAAACTATTTATTAACTTAAAAAATATATAAGTATAATTTTTTTTCTGACTTTTATTAGTTAGTTTTATATACTTTTCGATTTATAAATTATTATATGCGTTTTAGGACCATCACTTATCCTTTATATGAGTAATGACTTCATTTTATTGAATAGCGACATACATACTTAAGCTATTTATATAAAAAAAAATGATTCAATTAAAAAAAAAAAAAAAAAATGCTGGTGTATACAGCTTTTGATTCATAATATCGGAATTTATTATACTTCTAAAGTTTAGACGGAGTGTTGACGAATATTGTTGTTGTTTTGAAAAAATAGGGTGGCTAACGTTAAAAGAATTACCTTGTATGTATCAGACTTATGTTTACTTAATATTTTTGAGGTCCTAGAATTATTCTATAGCTAAATGTAAACATTTTTTGAACTATAGTATACGCATTATTACGTAGTATACTTCAAAATATCATTGTTAGGATGTACTTCTATAAGGACGACATGTAATTTTTTTATTTTATAATCTCTTTATTTTGAAGTGTACAAGTGTATTTAAAAATATTCTTCCCTACTATTTATCAAAATTTGCCACCCATCACTTTATTACCAATTGATATAATACTCCAATTAGTCGATATATTTTTTTACAACTATTAATAGTTAAAATTATATTTTGTTAATAAAATACAAATACAGATTTTATACTTTTTGTCACTATTGCGACCATTACGAATAAAATATTTTTAATTGTATTCAACTATAATACCTCAATCATTAGTGACAATCGCCACACACTTTAATTACAAAACAGCCTTTGTACTGTGCCAATAATTTCAACGTACGCATATTTTCATATTCAGAAACGTGTTAATTCAAACGCATTTGAAATGTTTCTGGGGAATAAAATCGATGTTTGGGTTGAACGTAAAATGCAATCGCTTACAATCGATAGTAAAGTCACGGCGACGAGCCTTTTACAAAGAGAGTAAATACCGTGTAAGGCTAAAAAGAGCAGAAGTTTATAGCGCAAGGTGGTTGTAAAAACATCGATAACTCCAGAGGCGCTTACTGGATAAATTTGAAGGGACAACGCCGCCAGTGGCACCGAGTCTGCCGTTTAACGTCGTTGTCTAACGTTCATTTCGTTTACCTTCGTGAACATTGATATTGTTTTCGTAATCCTGCGCAGCAATAATAATGAGTTGTGATACAGTTTTCATTTGTTACACTAATACTTGATAATAAATAAACGTAACAATTCTGTTTTTTTCAATGTTAAACTAGAATATAATTGTTCTTGCAAAATTTAATAAGATCGGTACGTTTTATAATTTATCTATTTATAATTAACGATACGCTGACGATGGCAGTATGAAATACAAAATAACGTGAGTATATGTTTTTTTCCGGAAAGTAAAAATTATCTCATTATTGGAGTACAAATCGTTACATAATTTTTGATGATTTAAAAATAACGTTATAAAATATTTTTAGAAATTTTTAAAAAATAAAATTGCAGATAACGTAGAAATGATAGTAGAATAGTAACGAGAGGAAGTACTCACTGAATAATCGAGTTAGTCAAATGTTGATTTTTATTTATATGATAATGTATGACTGTAGTATATATTCATCAATAATTGCTGCACATATGAATGAAAGATTAAATAGCTTTTTCAAAATTTTGTAATTAAATGAGTTCATTATAATATAGTATATATATTTACTCTTTTCTATTTATAAACTTCCAATTAGAAAAGTAAACATCAATTGAATGTTCTTGTGCATACAAATTAAAAGTTCAAACAAAATTTTTATGAAGATTTTTTAAAATGTTAAATAAACAAAGTGAAAGAAAATAATTCAGGTATTTTTATTTATATACGCATAAATCAAACCAATTAAAATAACTAAAATAATAATGGAATTTTAATTTGTTATTATTGATGTTAACTTTTTGTTAAAAAAGCATCTTTGCAGTCATTTTAAAATTGATGATAAAAATTACACTTTATTTAAATGTAAATTATACAAATAATTAATAAGGTTTAATAAAAAAAATTTTTTAGCCTTATTGCTCATTGTTTGGGTAGATTTTAAAAAATTTTGTGATAAAATAAAATTAAAAATTTAATAAAATAAAAATAAGACTTTTAAAAATATTTGACATACTTAAAAGTTTAACTTAAGTTTTAAATTAAAAAAAAAACGTGTTATTCAAATAAATGAATTTCCGTAACATTTATTATTTTGAACTAATAACTTTTAAATTTTTTTGATCTAACTTACATAAATATATATATTTATAGTTATATATAATATATATAAACTTCTATAAATGTATATTTGAATTTTAAAATCCATAAATTAATATAGATTGAATATTATAATTATATTAGTAATCTTCTAAGCGTGTTTTTTTACATTTTAAAATAAATAATGGCATTTTAACTTTAAATTTCTCGATTTATTACAATTAACTAAATTTTAATGAATAATTTTATTCCATCAATTTGACTTTTTTATGATCGTGATGGTTTTTTTTTATTAACATAAGACCTGTAGTATAATGAATCGAATGATAAAGTTTTTTTATATTTTTTAATGATTAAAATATATGTGAATATAAACGTGAAAATATAAGAATAGGTTCATTTCAACAAAAAGGATAAAACTTTTTTTAGTCAACACCAACTGCTAGTTTTAAGTTTTAGTACAATAGTTATTTATGTATTGTTTTTTTTTCAGTACTATTATTTTTATAGTGAAAATAGTTAGAAAGTGTTCATAAAATTTAGAGAGGAAATAAATTGTTTTAAAATATCTAATGTTTTAATTTAATTTAAAATTTGTTATATTACATAGAAGCAATCAATAAAATATACTAAAATATAAATTAGATACACTCTTTTATGTGAACTGTAAATTTAAAAAAGTTAAAAGAAAATTGTAACTATGTTATAAAGAATTTAAGATAAAAGTTTCAATATTCGAAATCCATAAAAAGATATTTATTCTGACCTATTATATTATATTTTAAATGGTTATTTGCAAAACTAGTGATAGCATAAATGTGTATTCAATATTTTTTTTTTGTAATTCGCACGTGGTACACAAAAAGGTAGTGCAATGACGATAACATAAGTGAATTAAAAGGAAATCGTCTGTCTTCATTACTTAGACGGCGTAACATATATGCAATATTGATACATAAATAAGTTGAATACTTGATCTAGAATATTTTAAACTTTATTTAACAATTACTTGACATTAATAGACACTTTTAATATAAATAATTAAATTAGTTTCATACAACTAACATAAAAAATACTTATTAATTATGAAGATTTATATATATATTGTAGGCGACTAATGACCTTAGTGGCAAAAGCTTTATGTTCTAAAAATAAAAATAATACATTGAATAATTCAAACAGTTTTGTCAAATTAATTATTTAAATAAATGGTTTTATTTGATCATAAATTATAAGCTCTAAATTAAAGAAAAAATCATAATTTTATTTTTAGTTATTAAATTGATTAACTTATGAATTGATGTAAATGTTAGAAAATTATGTTTTTAAGACAACAAATATAATTCTAACAATTATTAAAATCTATTAAAAGTTATTAAAAAAAAATTATATTTATGTAATTTAAATAGGAAAATATAAAATAAAAATATAGAAGAGTTCTAATGGTATGACAAATTTAATGACTATTGATACAATTAACATTAACATTGATTTCTTTTTAAAAACATTTTTATGTTTAAGGACTAATAGGAATATAATTTTTTTTTAGTTATCTGTAGGTTGTTATCAAATTTGATTTTACGGAAATTGAAATTAATATTAAATTATGACTATATCATTTTATTTTTATAAAATAATTTTAGCTTATGATGAATTAATGCCAAAATAGTTTTATACAGTATTGATAATATACCTAGTCACTTTTCCCTTCAGTTATAAGTGCTTATTGATGTGATGACAAATTTTATGGAGAAAATATCATAAGTGCTACCATAAGTTAGTATGAAGAAATTGTATTTACTTTCGTCGTTTTCCTAAAATATTGGCCAACGTTTAATACTGTAATATGAAAATAAAATTAATGAAAGTTTAAAATTCTATAGAATTTAAATAAGAAAACATAAGAATATTTTTGCACCAAAATGAATAAATTTAATTGAAAAGTAAAAAAAAAAAGTAATTTTTCTTTAAGGGACTTAATATTTTATAGGAACAATTAACAATTAATTCATCTTGTATTTTTGAATTTTTGTAAACAATAATGAGTTATAACATAGTATGTATAAATAAAATTTACAATCCATAAATTTATTAATATGCTAACAAAAATCTGTTCACTGGTGTCTCATTCGTATATTATTTTCATTTATGTATATTCATATGCATAACTTATTTCAGTAAACTTTGTAATATAATAATGAAGTAAGGTAATAATTTTGAGTTGAATATCATAAATATTGCAAGACCCATGTCGGTAAAACTGATTATCTGATAACATCCCCATGACTAAATGTTACCCTATTACAGCTATAAGAACTGTAAACAAAGTCTTGTTATTTGAAATTATTCATTTTCCAAACATGAACTTGTACTAAAAACAAACTTTATATTTTAGCATAAAACAAATTTATTTGCTGGAACATGTCCAACGACAACAATATGTCTTACACAATGACGTATACATAGTTAATGCTGCCAGGATAAAATTGTTTTCTTATAAGTGCAGACATTTATTTAAGATTCATAAGTATAAAAGTCACTGTCACTATGTTATTTTTATGCTTGTAAGACATGCAATATTTTGCGAGAATATTGTTTCTATTAGAGATACTTTTACGTACGTGTATGTATCTTGTAAAATAATTTATACATATATCTATTGATCTATATACATCAGTCTATTGATACTACTATGTAGCATTTTAAGTATCAATGATGATTAATAAAATAGTTAAAACCTAATTTAAACAGCAATATTCTACATATAAGACTTATCATTAAATTAAGGTAACATCAAAAAATTATTACTTTTATAAATTATTAAAGGTCTAAAAGTTTGATATAGGTCAACTAACAAGTTTTTGTTAAATATATAAGAACACAAAATCCGGTAGGAAAATGTATTTAAAAAAAAAAAACTCGTACGCTTACAAATAATAAAAAAACATATTTTACGTTTTATTCATTAAATATGACATCGAGTCGTGCAAAAAAACTCGCTGGACCTGTTACTTCCATCCCTAGTGATACGGTTTTTCGTGAAATATAATTTTTAAATGTATCAAAAGGTCACACGGTTGGTTGTTTGTATGTGTGATATTAAGCAAATATTTATGAGAAAACTGGCGTTATTTTGTTAGTTTCAAACAAACGGTTTATTGTGCCGATCAAACCGTATGGTTTAATGCGTTTAAAGCCACTGCATCAGGAGTTAAGGAGATATAATTACTATAGAGCTGGTAATCGGCCTAATTAAGAATCGAAATGTATGTTTGAATTACGTTTAATGAACGTCTGGTTAGAAAAATAAGAAATGAACAAACAAGGTGTGCGAGCTAAAACAAGCCGAAAATACATGCCAATGTGTGTCTGTGTGTGCTTTAGTTGCCGATAAATAACTATTATCCTTTTGAGTGCGACTCTCAAGCAGCGGCACTGCCCCGACGGATATTAGCCGCAATTTCCTGAAAGCACTTTAATGGATATTGTTGCGTTGTATTCAGAGATCCCAATGTTTTCATGTCCCTATAACAATTAGGATTCTGTATTTCAATCTTTTCATGACCACCCAGTCGTCCGACAATTCGTTTGATTTCCACACAATCGCTCCTTCACCAGCATTCTTTATTATGTTCTTTTTATTTTCAAAACAATGTCGAATAAACTATATATTTATAAGTTTATAAAAAATTGATCAATTTATACAACATTTTATAGATTTCTCTTGTCAGACAAATATTTATTGCTCTACATTTACATAATAGATGTATTTATACTTATAGATATTGTTTTTTTGCTTACTGCTATAAAAATATTCGGGTACTCTCGTTACCTTAATTGGTCAAATGAATGCTTTTTATTAAATTAAATTATTATTTTGATTAATTAATAATCAATAAATGTATCCGAACGATGTAAAACACTAATAGAGAATATCTAAAAATTGCCAGATAAAGTTGTTCAGTCATATTATTAATTAATTATAAATTTTAATTTTTCATATTTGCATAGTAAAAAATAAATTTAAACAATACTATATCACTTTCGATTAGACCTTAAAATGAGAAACTTCGTAATAACTTTTTCTCAATGTGCATAACGAAATTTTATTTTAACATAATGTATTTTTAATT